CCTTCCTCCCTTCCTCCCTTCCTCCCTCCCTCCCTCCCTTCCTTCCTTCCTGTCAATTTCAGATAATAGTAGTCATCCTGATTTGGACTTGGAAAATAAATAATCTTTTTGTAATATATCTCTCGTATAATGATGCTTCCTTAAAATACCTTGTGGTTAACTACTCTTTGCCCTTCTCAAATTGGATAATACTATTGTAATTACAATTTTCTTTTCTAAGTACTATATTAATAATGTATATGTCCATATATGTTTAAAGGAGATACTATATATCTCCACACTTTTGTTGGATGCTGCAAGAAAATCTGTGTATATGTGCAAATATAACTTCAGTAGAGATATGTAATAAATGCTACTTTAAAAAAAAAAGACTTTTCTGGGATTAAGTAGGATATAATATAGCCAATATTTATTAAGTACCTACTATATGCAGGGGACCTTGATATAGACACTAGGGAGAGATAAAAAGTTTAGATGAGAAGCAGTCTTTATATTTAAGGAGTTTTATAGTTTCTTTGGGAAGTAACCTGTCATCACATCTATTAAACACAATATTTTTTGATAAATAATACATCAGAGAACTACAAAATAAGAATGCTATGTGAGTTCTCAGGGTGAAGGTTGTTAACAACTTGGAGAGGAAGTCAGAAATGAAATGTGACTTAAGATCTCTTAATCCTGTTTACCTTATCTGGGTAACTTGCTTGAGTTGGGTTTGACTTAAGGATTTGTGTTTTCCTTCTAGAAAATTATCTAGAACTTGAAAATCATGGTGATGAAGAAGTAAAGTGGAATTTATCATCTTTTGCTCCACCTTATGTCAAGGTCAGTAACAATAATCTAAAATAAGTAATTTATTTCCTCTTCTTTGCCAGAAAATTTATTAGCTCCATTTTTTTGTTGCTATATTTTAAATTGATCCTAGCACATGCTCAAACCTCAGTATACTAGCTTTATTTATTCTGTCATTTGATGTCAATGGATTCCCCTTCTTGTTTCCTCATTTAGCACTTTGGCAGAAGGAAATCCTGTACAGTAAAAAGAGCACTGGACTAGGAGCTTAGAGGCTTTGATTCTAGTCAGTCTCACTGCTTACTAAGCTTTGTTTTAATTGTTAATTATTCTGTTATTTCTAAGATTTCCTTTTCTGCCACATGTGATGGCTGTGAAGATTAAATGACTGAACATACTTTGTAAAATAGTAAAATGCTACTCAGATGTGAAGTGTTATTTTTAATGTGGAATTCATATTTGTCGTTATTTAATTTTTATAATTTTTATTTTTCCTTTCTGTAGGATGTTGATGAGAGCGGAGATGTCTTTAGAGCTACTTACACAGCTTTCAGATGTTCCCGCATTTCTGGTACATTAGAAGGTCATGGAAAACAAAAAGTGAGGCCAATCACTTTGTTGAACACACTGTTAAAGAAGTCAACTTTGTTACACTTGACCCTATATGGGACAGTTAACTTCATACAAATGAATATTTTCACCATAATCATAAGTTATACTACCTAACCCTGGCCAGCTCTTAATCAACAGTCAGTAAATATTTATTAAGCAACTACTGTGTCTCAGTTGCTGGGCTAGTGTTAGAAATACAAAAGCAAGGTAACCTAAATCCTAGAGAAGCTTATGTTTTATGTTTAACAAAAGAATAGTTAGTGACATAGAGGACCATTTAAGAGCCTAAGTATTGGAAAACAGTTCACAGTGTATGTATTGCTGACAGGTCAGTTTCATCATCTCTATTTACAGAGGACACATTTTTATTTTGAACTCCAGGCTTAATGATGCCCTTCAACTTGGAGGATGCTCGTTGCTCTGAATCCATGATAACTATTTGTTCTGTAAGATGTCTTTCAAGGTTGTGGTCTTCAGTGATTCACAACTGTGTAGTATTTATCAAGAGATTTTCTGTTAGACATAGTTTTTGGTAGATGTGAACAGTTTAGAGTCATTGCAGGTGCTGAGTTATTCCCTAAATACAGTCTAGCCTGATAGCTTCCTACTGCTTAGTTCCAGAACCAGCTTATTTTTCATCTGTAGCACTTGTTTGAGATATACATGTTGATGGACAAATTCAATAGTTTGCTCGTCTAGTTGCTGTCATAGTCTGGACAATATATTTGTTTTAATTGTGTTTTTCAGCGTGAATGGTTAAATGAACATTTTTCACATTGTTACATATTTTGCCAAAGTTACCTTGTGAATGGTATGCCATCACTTTGAGTTTAGAAGCATTTTGAAACCCTATCAGAACGGAATCCTTTTGTTGGACCTTATGCTGGACCTCTTCTATAATACTGACCAACATGTTTGAAACTTGTTTGAGAACTCATTTGAAAGCAAAACTTAGCAGAACGGTAGTACGAAATGTTAGTCCTGTATTTAATGGAGTTTTGTATAATCCCGTGATAGATATATGAGACAGAAGCTTATTTAAAGAGAGCCATTTGCTTTACTGAGTCAGATGCTTTCTTAAAATTAAAAAATACACTGGGAATTTATACTTGTTACAGTTCTCAGGTAGTTGAGTGACCACAGAAATCTGGTCCACTGTTGGAAACTGCCTGTAAAAAACCCATATGTCTTATATTTTTATCAAGGATGCCTTAATGTGTGTGTAGACTATCCCTAAGGAGATTTTTACAAATATGAGAAATTAGGTATATGCTCCCAAGTAGTTAATGTCTTGTCTTTTAAAAGTAATTATAGCTAATAATCTTTTCCATAGCTAATAAACTTTTCTGTTTTTAAAAACTGTCCCCTCGTAACTTAAATACACTATTCCCTAATTGCCTTTAAAGTTTATGAATTTGAAGATGGATTTCTTCAGTATGTTGTTGATCAGGTCTGACTTGTTCCTGCTTATTTTCATCATTTTCAGTGCCATTCATATGGTACATTAGATGCAGAGGTTTCAGAGTCCAAATATCAGGACCTCCACAGTTATTGTCAAAATCATTATAAAAAAAGACATCTGTACTGTTTTCTATCTATTTTCTTTTGTTTGTTTGTTTTTTGGGGCAATCAAGGTTAAGTGACTTGCCCAGGGTCACACAGCTATTAAATGTCTGAGACCAGATTTCAACTCAGGTCCTCCTGACTCTAGGGCTACTGCTTCATTCTCTGTGCCATCTAGCTGCTTTCCATCTATTTTCTTACCAATTTCATCTACAAAATTTCTCTAGGTAATCTAGTTTGGTTATATCTTTCACCAACTGTTTTCACTATTTTGTGAGGTACAGTCTATATCCTTATGTCATCACCCCCTCAGTTGTGTTATACAAATGTGCTTGTATTCTAAACTTCTGTTTTGCTACCTGGCTGCCATATCTTTCTAATTAGCTTAGAGATTGTGTGTGCTAGTTAGTCTGACTTCTGGGTTTTGTTGTGGCTCTTTATGGTGACTATTATATGTCAGTTCATCTTCTCCAGGAAGTAGTGATGAAGTCACTTTACTTTTTTTTTTTAATCCATTTTTGGATCCCCAGTTTAAGTTTTAGTTGCTATGATTCTTTTCAGTGTCTTCTTGTTATTCTTTTGTGTTATTTAAAGTGTTTACTTTGACGTTTAGTTGAACCAGCCAGTGGTTTGACTGCATAGAGACTGATTCTAAAGTAACTATGTTTATATCTAGTCACAACTTTTCTGTTAAAATATAAGTAGCCTTATTTTTTGTGTATTACTTGTTTATTACTTTCCAATGCCTCATGACTCTTAAAAAATTCATTATATACAGTTAGGAATTTTCCAAGTTGTCAGTATAAGTCTTTGATGTCTTTAGTTCCTTGATCCCAAACTATTTTCCAACATTGCCCTTTTCCCCATGCCCACTTTCACATTGTTGTTGCTGAATGTTTAAGTGTATGTTGATTTTGGAAGATTTTTTGTTAGTCTTTATAGAACTTAGCTACTGTATCCTTCAGGATGAGTTTTTTTGCTCATACTCATAGTCAGTTCAGTAAAGCGAAATGACCAAATGTTCTGACCAATTGTTTCTTGTAACTTTGGGGTATATGATGAAAAAGATGGTACTAGCTCTGATATTTGTCTTTTCAGGGAGAACCTATGAACTCCCTTTCTGTTAAGTTGCCACTTGTTTACGTGATCTGGTTTAATGTATGATAAATGTCAATGTGGATGTAGTTCAGTTTCTACAGTACTATGATTGGTCATTTAGCAAGAATCATATATTGAAAGGGCAGCTAGGTGGCACAGTAGATAGAGCATTGGTCCTGGAGTTAGGGGGACCTGAGTTGAAATCCCGCCTCATATATGTAACACTCACTAGCTGTGTGACTCTGGACAAGTCACTTAACCCCAGTTGCTCACCAAAAAAAAAAAAAAGAATCACATATTCAAAATATAAACAGATAAGGTGCTCTAAAAACTGTTAGCACCTTTGTTGACAGAGTAGTCATATCAGTAACAAAATTCATTATAAATATTGTGAGATTTCAAAGATAGTTAATGCCATATACATACTTAAAGTCTTCTACCTGGTAGGTATATCCTAAATTTTGGTTCTGTCTTCTGGCCAGTAGAGGGTTGCATAAGGAGAACAATAAAATGAATATGTCCCCATCTCTTGATTATTTTTCTGTGGTTTAATGTACTGAACCTTCTCCAGACTGCTTCCTCATTTAGCTCTCCTACACAACAGCTGTAGTGTAATTTGAGCGTCACCCCCAACAATGTACTTTTAGAGGTGTTGATTTAGATAAAGTATTTTGGACCCAGAATCGAATTGGTCCACTTGAAATAGAATTGAACAAGCTTTTATTTCTCTGAGAAGTGACAACTCTGACCAACTCTAAACATTTATTGCTCCATTTCTTCATATGAAGGCTTCTTATTGGTAACCTAACAGAAAGATAATTATCATTGTTTTAGTAATAACAGCAGATAAAATGTCACAAAAGCTTTTATATTTGTTTTATAGGTTGCCATCACTTTTTTACCAAGAGACAGAGGGAATTATGCTCAGTTTTGGGATGTTGAGTGTTATCCCAGTGCAGCACCTCACATGAAACATACGCTGAGATTTCAGCTATCTGGACTAGTGAGTATTATGAATGAAAGAAAAAAAATTATTAAATGCTTATTATATACCTCATATTGTAACTTAATTCGTATAATTAAAGTAACTTTTTAAAATGAAAATTATGCTTTTAGTTGCTAGTAATGAATATCCTTGTGTTCCTTTTGGCAGTGAGGGGTTGAGAAAGGATTGCTTTCCTTCTTGGCAAGTTTTCTTAGCTGTTGTTCATATTAGCTATATCTGCTGATGGAAATTGGCATGTGTCATACATATATGTGCATGTGTGTATATACATATGTATATAGTAGATGGATTTGATGTATTGTTAAGATGTATAAAACTCATAAATAAAGTTGGAGAATAATTAGTGACTTAATTATTTTAAGGTATTAACCCATGTCAAGTGATAAATCCATCAGTACCACATTTAAAGGGCTTTGAGGTGGAGAGAGTATACATCTTTTACTTCTTTTTAAAAGCTTTGATGTAGAAGTAGGAAAAATAGGTGGGACATCTAGAAACCTGGATTCTATTTGTGGGCCCTGCCACTAATAATTTGTGTGATTTTGGATGAGTTACTTAATCTACTGGAGCCTCAGGTTCTTCATTGGTAAAATGTGGATAATAACTACCTAATATATCTCGGTGTTGATGTAAGATCAAATTAGAAAGTCTGTATGAAAATGCTTTACAAACTAAAGTGGTATTAAGAAATAGCTATCTAACAGGTTCATTGTCCTTCCATTACCAAGAATTTTTTTTTCTCTTTATATCTTTCTTTCTAACAGAGTATTAGTTCAGAAAATGGATCTGAAAGAATTCCCACAGATGCTCTTGTAAAAACAGATAATCTAGCTAGGTCCAGAAGGCGAACTGGCTCTGAGGTTTCTGTCCCTATGTCTCGGTATGTATTTGTGACATGCTTATAAATTCCCAAAAACATATGTGCATAGAAAGCAACAATGTAATATGCACAATTTTAATGATGGCATTTTTTTAAAGCAGGTTCATGTCAGTGCACCTTAGGTATAATGTTAAGAGCACTATTAACCAATGGCAAAAATGTTCTTTATTATCATCTGTCTCTTAGAATGACTTACTAGAGAAAGGTGTACTATGTTTAGCACTGTGGGGTGCAAAGAAGTATGAGACATGGTCCCAGGCCTGATGTCTAACTCACTCCCTTGTAGTAACTTTGACACTTAGTAGAAAGATAAAGTATGGTACATTAGTGCATGGAGGGAATTAAGATCATATGATTTGTTACTAAGGAATGGTTGATTTATTGACTTGTTGAATTTAGTATAAAACTGTTCATTTCTTTTTTGTTATGAGTATAAGCAAACAGCCTTGAAAACAGTTGCGACTCTGTGCCATTCTTTGGAGCAAAGGATAAAGAAGTAGAGAAATCCTATGAAGAACTTGAATTATTTGGAAGATTTTGTCAACATAGACAATGATACTCAGTAATTTTAATACAAATATGAACATAGGAGGATGGCATTAAATGTTTTGGAAAAAACAGTTCAGGATTAAGAAATGACAGACCAAGGACTTATTGACTGTTCAGAAACATTATGCATGTATATCATTAATTTCTTTGAAGAAACAAGTAGGAAAGCAATAGATATGGTGATAATCAAACAAAGTCATAGTAAGTGAAATACTGGCTACTAAAGAAGTGGTCATTTTACACTTGCCTATCACCATGCAGTTGGATTATCATTAAAGCAGAGGTCAAAATCCATACCACATGAGGTGAAAAAATAAAGATGACAAGGCACAATACACAATTACAGTAGCTTGAGTTAAGCTGTCAACTCTGAAAAATGGAAAATAGGTAAATAATGACTTCAGCTGTTATGTATTATTTCTTAGGCATGTTTAATTGAAGTAAACCAGTCACCAAAACATGATAAAAAGAGCTCATAAACCTTAAACAGTAAGAAATAATGTACATGTGATTAAGAGGAACACAGGAAGATTAACTAAGCCGATACAGTGTGAAGTAAACAGAACCAGAAAAAGCCGTATATATAGCCACTATAGTCATGCAAATGAACATAAAAAGAAAACCAAACTGTCCAATTTTAATTTTTTATCATTCCATATTTCCCCATGTTCTTATGTCCTTAACCATAGTTTTCACCCACATTTTGACCTCCAGTTTCCCACCATTATTTTTTCATTGAATCTGCTTTCCTCCTTTACTAATGTCAGTGTTAAGATTGATCCATTTGAGCTCTACTATCCTCTATTCCAAAGATTTTTAATGCTTTTTGTGTTTGACAGCCTTGTGAAGCCCATAGACCTCTTCTTAATCAGTTAATAAGCACCTACTATGTGCCAGGCACTGTGGCAAAAAACAGTTTCTGTTCTCAAGGAACAGTCTAATGGGAAGGACAACATACAAACAAATTCAAATATGATATATGTAGGATAAATTGAAGATAATCTCAGAGGCACTCTTGTGGAAGGGACAACCTTAGAAATCATACAAGAATTGTTTGAAAGGACGTACGTGATAGAGAAAGTGAATCTTATTAGCACTTGTTTCAATATAGGTGTCATTTGCTAAAGTTTAACACACCTGCTCCAAGCCATTTTTAACTTCTTATAAAGGAAATAATTAAAATTAACTTTTAAAGATATAATTTGGATTTAAATTCCTATTAATTTTAAATAGGTAACTTAGTCCCCATTTTCTAACCCAGGCAAGTTGATTTGGCTCAGCGAGGTGTTAATGCCCCACAAGATGTATACGTATTTCTTCCAGCTAGAGTCGGAGAAACAAGAACTATAAAAGTCAATTTACGGAATAATTCTTTCTCTACTCACTTGGTAAGTTTGACATCTACTTGAGAATTTTGGGAAGCTAAGTATATGAAAGAGTGTTTCATTATTTTTATTATTTTGTATGCCTATAAAGCTATATAGATAAATGAAAGATAGATATTTAAGTTTCTAAGCTTTAAACTTAAAGCCAGAAAATGGTATGTTTAAGATGTTTCTTCACTCGAAGAAATTTTAAATATCCACAGGAAGACTCTGGTATTTTACTTGAAAACTGAAAGTGACTGAATATATGTATTGGGTTTTGTTTTATTTCTTTTATTTTTATGTTTTTTCCTGTACTTAGTTTTATTGTCAGTTACTACATTTTTCTGAGTAACATAATTGATATCTAAATTAGAGTAAATTCATGTATAACTCTGGTCCATAGGATTTAAAAAAAACAAACAAACCAGAACAACTGGTCTTCAGTGCTAGTTCTGCCTGACAAAGCTTTTATTTTATATGGTTGTATCTAAATCTTACTGAAATAAAATTTTCATTCATGAAATGCATGATTTATTTAAAATACGGTAAGGTATCTATTAAGTAGTTTGCATGCTGTTTTTTAAAGTGTTTATTAATATTAAATTCCAGCTGAAGTTTTTAAGTCCCAGAGAGCCTTTCTACGTCAAGCATTCAAAATATTCTTTGAGGTGAGTTAAATATAAACAAAAATTTTGTTTAATTCAGTGCTTTTTTATATGAATATTTATAAGATTCTAGTAGTTCTAGATACTACTCTAAGGCTTTGTAGTTTTGTCTGTCACTATCACCTTATTTTTTCAATCTCAGAATCTACTAGGTGTGGTGTACAAACTGTTATCTCATTATGCCAATATGAGGTGAAAGGTCAGTGGCTTCAGCATTGATTGATGATGGTCTGCTGAGAACACTATGGAAATGTTTAGCCTATCTTTCTAGGATCATGTCCTTATCACTAATCAATGCGACTCCATCAGCACTGAGTATTTGAGAAGTGCTCTAATCTGTTGAAGTTAATTCTTCTGGTAGTCATTTTGCCTTGGGGCCACTGCCTTTGTTGAATGCTAATATTTAGCTTGGAGAGGATACGTCTATGATCAGTCCAGCACTCTGCACCACACTTTGCCTTCGCTACTCTCACATGCTGTCTGTCTCTTCTCCTTATAATCACGTTGTCTATTAATCAGAGAGACAGAACATCATGGTTGTAGATACAGCAGGGCCTGGTATTTTTTAGATATCTAAAAATATTGTAGAATGTATACTTTGATTTTCCCAAAAGGATTAGAGAATGATATTGTTCATTTACATATTTTTATTTATTTGCTTCGGCTTTCTTGGAAATATGGCATGCTGAAATTTACATTAGATTCTATTCTTACCTTTTGAGTTTTTCAACTTGAGCAATATAATAAAGTATTTTGGAGTATAAAAGATTTTAATTGTGATTAAAAAGAAGTCCCTCCCCAGAATTTTATTGAAAAGTTTTCTGCTAATTGTTTTACCATTTGATTTTTATATTCTCCAGTCAATATTGTATAGTTTTCTTAGCTAGATGTTTAATCTTTTTTCATCTTGTTTGGCATACATGTGATGGTACTCAAGTGATTCCCCTTTTCTTTCCATGGATATTAAGTTAACTGCATTTATTTAACCCAGGAGTGGGTAAACTATAGTAGAAGGCTGAATCTGGTCACTAAGAATAGTTTTTATGTTTTTAAATACAGCAAAACTTTATTTGAAAGCTCAGGGCTGACCAAAAATAAATAGCTCACCAGATTTGGCCATAGTTTGCCTATTCCTTGTTTAGTCACTTAAAATGAAGTACCAAAGGTCAGAATTGGGTCATTGTTGTAGTATTATAAATTAAACACTTATAGGATTAAGTTTCATTTTTCGCAGTATAAAAAAGTGCATAACTTTCCTTTAGAACTCTAGTCAGACCATTTGGCTATAAGCATATCACTCCTGTAGCAGGAAGTACTATATGTTGATCCGTTTTATTTACGAAACTGGCAACTGTCTAGGTTGCCCTCTATTAAATTAGAACCTCATGGCTGACTCATAATGGCTACTACAACTTCTTTTATAGTGATTACTTAGATAGTAGGTACTGCTGGTAGATACTTGGGACCCTTTTCCTCCCAAGCAAGTGTAAAGGTTCCATAAAATATGGTGGCATATATCCACAAGAGTTAGTTGGCGCCTTACAGCACTTAACAGAAAGTCACAGAAGCTTTATATTGTAGATAAATACAGTGTAATTGTAGGAAAGTAATGCAGACTTTTGTACATAGAGTAAAAACTGACTAAATTGCAGAATTCATTCATTAGGGAGAGATGTACAAAACCCTTTTAACTCTACAAATGTTTTTAAACACATGATGGCTCCCTTCAAGTTAACTGAGTATATGGACATATGTTATATACATATGAAATATTTCTATAAATACTAAAATGCATGATTACATTGATGAATTAGATAACTTAGATCAAATGCATCCCCTATCACAGATGTTTAAGTAGAAACTAAACACAGTTGAGAACTTAGCTTGAACTTTGTCTCTTTTAAACAGAGAGATCATTACAACTAATTTGAAATTTGATTATTCAGAATCAAGAGATTTTTATTATTGTATTAAGTTATATGAAATTTTAAAAGATTACACACAGTTAAACTTCCACATTAATCAAGTTGGAAAAGTGAAAATAAAGTATTCCCATTCACTCCATCATAGATGATCTCATCACTATCCCTACCGGTGTGCAATCAGCTTTTTTATAAGTGTGACGGAGGGGAGTCACATGAGCCATTTGTAGATGAATCTTTTGCCATTATTGAGGAAAAGTATTAAGTATCTGTCCTACTTTCATCATCAGTGTCCTTGGTGATTACACAGTGCTTAAACATTAGTTTTGTATATTTTGAGTTGTACTACCATCTCATCTGTCTGAAATACTCTTGGTGTTCTGGAAAGACAACTATCATGCTATTAATTTTTTTGATATTGTTTAGCTTTTGATTTTCCATATTATAATATGGATGGCCCTAGGAAATACTTTAAAAAATTTCAAGTTAATATTTTTCAAAATTATCAGATAAGACTTGTTAGTTATTTTCTTCTTTATTTAATAGTATTTTATTTTTTCTAATTATATGTAAAGATAATTTTTAACGTTTATTTTTACAAAATTTTGAGTTCCACATTTTTCTCCCTTTTTCCCTCCCTTTCCTCTTCCTAAAACATTAAGAAATTTGATATAGGTTATATATGTGTAATCATATAAAACATTTCCATATTAGTCATGTTGTGAAAGAAGAAACAAACCAAAAAGAAAAAAAACTGAAAAAATAAAATGAAAATAGTATGCCTCAGTCTGCATTCAGAATCCATCAGTTCTTTCACTAGATGTGGATAACATTTTCCATCATGAGTCATTTGTAATTGTATTGGATTATTGTATTGCTGAGGAGAGCTAAGTCATTCATAGTTGATCATTACACAATGTTGCTCTTATTGTGTCTAATGTTCTCCTAGTTTTGATCATTTCACTTTGCATCACTTTATATAAGTCTTTCTGAAATCTGTCTGCTCATCATTTCTTACTGCACAGTAGTATTCCATTACATTCATATGCCACTGCTTGTTCAGCCATTCCCCTATTGATGGGCATCCCTTGACTTGTTAATTCTTTATATGTATTACCACATGCTAAACTGGCAGGCATCTCTTTAATACATATGTCAGGCCTCCCCAACATACAAGATTTCAGGTGGCCTGCGAAAAATGTAAAGGATGTAAAAGAAAGTAAAGATGTAATGAGTGCTTTGTCCATGTCCCGCTTAACCCACCTTCCACTAGTCACTGTTGCACCTGCCTTGTTACTTGGTGAGTGGGTTGGCACTGTACACACTGTCCTATTTGTCACATGACTCGTGGCAGCCAATTATCTTCAGTCTGTTTCTAGTCTGAGAGGAGTAAGAGGCATATGTTTTCAGTCCCTACTGGTGTTGAACAGGGACAAAGTGAGTGCAGTCACATGCCAGCACAGCTGACACCCACTATGAGATCAGCAGCAACAACATGAGGGCTTCTTCGAGCCCTCCCTAATTGCGCAGCTGCCCTCCAAGTTACATGAATGTCTGGTGCTCTCTCCAAGGTCAGACACTCAGTTCAGTATTTCTTTGTATGTAGGCAGTTGCTGTGGAGATATTTTGGTTCTAACATTAAAGTTTTTGGGGTGACTTTGTGAAAGGAGTGATTAAAAAAAAAAACCAGAAGATTGAATCAGAACATAGAGTGTTTAATCCGGAGTGGACAAATAGATATTTGTTTACTTACATGAGAGACAAAATATTGTGCCTTGTTTACCGAGAAGTAATAGCCATTCCGAAGGAATATAATCTTCATAATTTTGAATCAAAATATCCTGACTTAGGCATATTGGACACCAATGAAAAACAAATTAAAGCATCCAAATGGTTGAAAAATCTCAGTGGGGAACAACAGTTTTTCAGAACAGTAAACTCAGAAAATGAGGTGGCTACTAAGGTTAGTTTTCAGATTTCTAAAGAAATCCATTTCCAACATGATTCCAGAGTATGTTAATAAACTTATGACTGACAAGAAGTGTAATACGTCCTACTAACTAAATTTAAACAGTAAGAAAATTTGAAAAATATAACTTGTATCGCTTAGCAAAGTAATTTTTAAAAACATTTTTGTGATTTCATGATAAAAATCTTAAGTAATAAGTGTAATTAATTGACATTAATTGAAATTTCCCTTTTTAAAATGGTTCATTTGCAAAATAGTTTAAACATTAATTATACCTATACTTTGAAAGTGAGCCGCTAAAAACTTGTGTGTGGCTCAAAGAAGTTTAGCCTATTTTAATTTTGGTTCCTCTCTACTGCCAAGTTGTGCAAGTCTGATATAAGTTTTAAGCATTTAAAAATTTTTTATACTCACATTCAAATGGAAACATAAAAACAACTTTCAAAGTCAAGGGATATCAAATTATTCATTTCTCTTTCCCTCCATTAATTGGCTAGAGTTTATTTTAATATGAGTGAGTGTACATACATGCATGTCTCTGTGTGTGTGTATTTTAATGGCAACAGAGCCAAGATGGTAGAGTAGCAAGAAAAATTACAGTGAGCTTCTCCCCCTAAGAAATTCCTTCAGACATATCTAGAAAACGCACTAGACTTGATTTTTCCAGTACGGGTTGGTATAGAGAGACAGAGAAGTCTGCTGACACTGGGAATAGGATTGGACCAGGATTGTCCTGCTCAGAGCACTTGAGCATCCAGGAAGAGACTGTGTACCACAGCTGTGGGAGATTCCAGAACATTGTGACCTTGTTGATGTAAGGTGTAGGAACAGGTTCCAACCTGCACCTTTGTTACTCACAATCCAGTGCTGGGTGATCCACGGTGAACTGAGAGCGATTTGCACCCCGGGGTGGCATTTCAGGGCGAGGAGGGGTCATAGGCCCAAAGTTCTGTACTGAAGGAGAGAAGCAAGTTCAGAAACAACAAACAGCAGTGTGGCTTGGACCTCAGGAAAACAGCTGTGTCTCAACTCCAACTTCTAGCCTAGTCTGAATCCTACAGATTAATAACCAGTATAGGAATCCCAGAGCAAAAGGATGTTTCCAATTCTAC